CTGCACCGGAACTGTCCTGAGAGTGGAGGTCTGCAGGCAGGCTCCCATGTGAAATTCGGCGATTTGTCCAATACAAATCTTTACATTGCTTTCACACAGAAGTTCCACTTTACTGATGCCCTTCTTTAGGGTTTCTCCGAACATGAGCTGTGTATGCTTGTATGGCACTTCCGTCCCGAGCAGCATACACAGATAGAATCAGCCAGGACAAAGTCCCCAGACACTGATTCCCTGGGCGTTCCAAGCCTCAAATGTTCATTAACCAAAAACGAAACACAGCCGCTCAGTTTCACAGGTAATTTTAGGATACCGTCAATCACAGATTCTGGTAAGGCAATGTCCAAATGTGGATTTGAAATTACACTTGCCGGTTCTGAAGATGTGTTGGTATCCTGCCGACAACGCCAATTGTGGGGGAAACTTCTGAAGCAATTGGAGTCAGGACTCGAGAGACACGAGGAGAGCTGGAGCTTTGATGGCAAACACTGACGGTTTATTTGGAGCTTCGGCCGGAGAATTCACAAGACATATCACGAGCCATGAGTTGACCACAGGTTGACCACAGGTTGAGATGCCACATCAATTCTGAAGAACCCTCCTGTAGCTCGAGGTTTTAACTAGTTCAGAGTGTAATAATCAACATTCTTCAATAGACTAAACAGCTGAGGACACTGAATCACATTTGTTGTCGCTTATGGCTCGGGGTCATCTACACCCCGAGAAGGATGTGTTCCAGGTGTCCCACAACAATAACTATCTCTCACCGAGAGTTGCCCCGCCATAAACTGGTAACAACAAAAAAATGCTTGGGCAGCCCCTCCTTATAATAATAATAATAATAATCCTTATATTTATTATAGCGCTTTATCAAAGACTCTCAAAGCGCTTTACAAATACACATTACACATACAGATCATACATGTAATGGTCATCTACTGTGGACAATACCCACCTTATGGGAGATAACGGCTGATCAAGGTTGGTCAGCTGCGTCAGAGGGCAAAATGTAAACATGTAGGGCGAAATTATTCTCTGACATAAATGACACTCATTTTCCTGAATATTGTTATTATTTGACAGCGTACAAATAGAGGGAAAGGCACAGTCTATTACCCTAATGGCAATGAAAGGGTAGCCCCTCCATTAAAACACACACAACATTAACCCAAACTAATGACTGCTTGGTGCTTATAGTTTTAATCATAAGTGCCTAAGAAACAGGGCTTTTTGTTTATTAATAATTAGAATTTATTAAAACTTTCACAACAACTGAAAGTTGTCCTAAGAATCATGTGTGGGATATCATCTGAATAACTTTGCTGAATTAACTGTGAAACGCCTCTCACACCTTTTTTCTCAGCTTTTATTTTAGTCAGTGGTACATTTAGTCAGGTACAGGCTGTGTGGTTAAGGGTGCATTACGGTTGTTAAAAAATAAACATCAAACAATAATATCTTAAAAGACTATTTGTCTAAATAATTTCCAAAATGAAATTCCTAATGTCAGATGTTCTGTTGTCTCATACAAACTTCCATTTGATTAATTAATTTACCATGTTTGATTAAGTGCTTTCGCCTTTCTCCGTCCATGTAACTTGAGTATTCTATAGAGTGGGTTTTCAGCATTTTATTTACTCTTTTTTTATTTCCTTACTCAGGGCCTTTTTTGCCACCACACTTTTACCTCTTGCTGCCTCCACTACTTTCCTGTCGTTTTCTAATGCTGTAAAAGGGCTTTTCCAGCGCTTGCCTGGCAACAGTCCAGAAGAGGTCCTGAGAGATGGCAGAGAAACAACCGGGGAATAGAGAGGAAGGAGACTTGAGGGGTTGCGGTGGAATGTTTGTCTGCCCAAAGGGTTGCGCCTGCCAAGGCGGCACAGAGGAGGGTTTTGTTTGTGTGTTTGTGTTAGTGGTCCCATGTGTCTTAGTGGCCAGCAAAGGACCAGTTTGCCACATCTCACATCTATGTTGAGGTTTTGCTGCCAAGGCTAACAGTGGGGCCACACAGCCATCTGTCTCCATACACTGACCCACCGGTTAGCAGCCACCAGCTCAGAGAGCCAACGTCTCCCCTCTGCTGCCTCGTGAAGCCAGAGTTCAACTGAGCATGATACGCTAATAAATGACAGTGCGTTTCAATCATTTCAATTAGCCATTTATAAGGACATTGTGCTTCTGTATTTATAGCGTTTAAACAGCATCATATTCTCTTACAGCCCACCTCATTGCAGGCTGCCTTCAGACCCAGGGAGAATTATAATCAAAGGAAGAATCAAAGCCCATCCTTTATATGTGACCCTTTCATAACCCTCGGACCACATCTCTTAGTTAAGGTCAGTTATGCTCATTGTTCTGCTCTGGTTGTCAAGAAGAATAGATAATGGCATTGGCCTTTTTCTTCTGGGAGTGCAGGCCATTGTTTTCTACTGGGTGGTGCTAACTTCACAAACTTCACACTGCTTGTGAGTTCAATTTACTGGTTTGTGGGAGGACTGTGATGTCAAAGAAACATGTTATAAATGAGCATCTCTGGAATGTATAGTTGAATGAAATTCCTGGCTAATTTAATCCATAAGAACCCGGACCCATTTCTACTTTTGGGAAAATTAAGGGGAACATAATTTAGACGAAATAGACCACCTAGAACCCCCCCCCCCCCAAGTGTCAAATATCTGAAATGTGACATATATGTCACATTGGGCTTTAATGGTAAAATAACTCTTATTTTTAACTTAATTAATGAGGATTTTATGGTTTAAATTAGTTTGAACATTCTTTGAATTGAAGAATAAGACCATATTAACTCAATATAATTGAATCAGCTAAATTAACTGAGATGATCATCATAATATTTCTAATTGTGCATATAATGTCACTGGGTTTACTGTGACAGTTTAGGGTTAAAGTCCCAATGTGACACCAGTGTCACAGCGATGTTTGTCTCATTTGTTTCATATCAATTTGATCAATAATTGTTAAACAGGTTAAATGTAATAAAGGACATGTTATGTAAAATGGCTTGAATTTGACCTTTGGCAACAACAAAAAGCTTAGCACATGGACATCTTGGACATGTTTTTAAGAACACAAAATCAAAAGTCCTGGACCATGACCCACCAGACTGTTCAGTGTCACTTCATGAGATAAAATAAAGGCTAAAGCTGTTTAAGGAACTTTCCAGAACATTTAAAGTTCATGTGACACCCGTGTCAAGGTGGGTCCTTATGGGTTAAGATGATCAAAACTTTTTCTAAGGAATTGTTTTAATATTAGTTATTGTTTGATACGAAATTAAAAGTATGTGAACATAAGATATGATTACTCCTCCTTTTTCTTTGTTGATAAGAGGTATTTTGAAAGTTAAGGATACACACCACTAGGTGACACCTGGGACTTGCTGACCTTTGCATCAATTTAAAATGCATCTTCTGGCCCAGCATGTGTTCTCTTGTCTTAGTTTGTTGCTCTTATACACATGCACGCGCGCACGCACAACCATGCATACATTCATACACAGTAACCCATGATTTGTAATTTCAGAAGTATCACAGCCAATTTGTCATGAAAAAGGGTAGACAGTGCTTGAAAGTAGGATTGGGTGAATGTTCAACCCCTTTCCTTCTTTTTTCCCCCACTTGTGCTGTAAACACTATTTTCTGTTTTCCATTCAAGCTCTCAACTTGATACTATGATACAACGCTTTTAGGCTTATTCTTAAGGGGCTAGATGATTAGTCTTTTTCTAAGTCTCTTTCATCTGACATAAGGTTGAAGGAGGAGATAAATGCTGCGCTGTTGGGAATTGTAGTTATTTCACTTCGAGACCATATTTATTGCCCCTTTAAAGCAAACTTCCATAGGAAACAGTGAATTAATAGATACATTTGCTAACTTTATTTTGTATTATGTCAAACTCACCTACGATGTTACATTCTACATTTGTTTTTATACTCTAATGGGCACATAACACGAGGCTCAGAAACTATAGTCTGCTAAATGTTTGTGTGAAAAGATATACGTTTTTATACCTACACTTTTTGGCTCTAGAGATTCGGGTACATGTGACCCCAATCTAATAATTAAACAAGACCCGGGAAAAAATAAATAATACTGCTATAAAAACATTTTACATGATTTATATACTTTTTTAAAATATGATATGATGATGGGTTAGCGTTAGCCTACTAAATGTTGGCCACAAAGTAAAGTATGCAGCCGCTGGACATTTTCAAAATAAAAGTTTCCCATCCGTCTTTAATGGATATTTTCATTGAAAATGATCTTAATTTTGTTAAAAGTCTGAGGTTGACCAGTAGGAGTTAGCTCACCTCGTTTATCTGAGTGATTTTGGCTAGTCAGGAGTTACCGTCAACATCGACATGTGTCCAGGTAAAGCTGAAAATTCAGTGACAGACTAACTTAGTACTTTTACTTTGTAAACTTAATTTGTCCCAAAAGTCTGTAAATATTAGCCGTCATAAAGGACTTACGTTACGGTTGTTAACGTTCAGGTTAGCATGGACAAAAGAACTAGCACACCTATAAGAAAAATCATTTATTTTTAAGTTCTTTGTTTACGGTACTAAAGGGAAGCTAATTTTAACGTTGCAGTTAGCTATCTTGGAAGTTGAAATGGTGTCATGTCAAACACTGTGTAATTAATAACATTAACGAGGGCTGCATTACTGCAATGATTCTGGAGTTGCTCGTGCATGCTGGCTCGCTGTCATATCCAACTGGCAGATGAATAGAGCAAGGCCATAATTAATGTAATTAGTTACACCTCTGCCATGACATGTCAAAAATGAGACAGGAGGCCCTAACACAGTCACTAGCCTACTGTGTACCTCACATTGCAGTATGAGTATCTTATGGTAAATGCATTCATTTTACATGTATCTACTTTTCAATGAACAATAGTCTTAAATGTATAACACATCGACAAGTTATGAGCCTCGTTAAATTGATTGGAACATATTTTCTTCTTTTCTTTTTTACCAGCAACTTCTATCATAGGTTTCCTGTGATGTTGCAGCTGCAGACATCATGAAGCCTGTTGGGGTTGCATTGCCCCCACATTTCTCAGTTCCATCAAAGTAGCAGCCTAACTTCCAAAACTGTGAGTACATTCAACATTTTTCAGTTCATTCATTCAATCTTTTCTGTGGACTTTATTCGTTTATGCTTTGTATTGGTATATGTCTCTCTGACGTGTTGCTATATAAGTTAAAGTAATGTCAATGTTGAATAATGATAAATTGCATATAAATCACTGTTAAGTTTCAATACATCAAATGTGTATTAGTGGACATGTGATGACACTATCAATCACCGAAACAAAATAAGGGAACTATCTTTAATCTCAGGTTTAAATATGATGCTTGCTTCAACTGGATGCCAAAGACACTTCAGCTTCGAACACATCATCATTGGACTTTTGCAGGAAATACCCTGATGACACCCTATATGGCATTGTGATTAGGGGCCTCATTTATAAAGGGATATGCGCTCAAAAAATGGCGTACGCCAGTTTCTACGCAATGTTTGCGATTTATAAAATACTAACTTGACGGGAAAACGTGCGGTCCTCCACGCAAACTCTAACCCATGCGTACGCACTAAGCACAAAAACGGGAGAGACGAGAAACTGCGACACCGCGTTGGCAGAAGGAAGAATGGAGAGAAATATGTGGAAATAATACCATAAATAAAATGTTACCTCTCATTTATCATATGAACAATTCATTTTCAAACATTGATTAAAGCCAATCTTAAAATGATTAAACACACCTGTTTGAGACTCCTCAGTGCACACAAAAACATAACTTGGAGAAATAAATAAATACGGATATGTTATTTAAAACCACCTCGAATATGTTGTGTTAATGTTATGAAATGTTTTCTCATAAATGATGCGGTTTTGCATTTCTATAGGTTGTACGAGCATGATTTTATTTACTACCATGTTTAATCATGTTTTATGCCGTTTGCTAAGACTTGATAAGTCGCTCATAAAACACAGGAGGTATGGAAACTAAGAACACCATGTGGTAAATTGTACAGCTGATATAACACAACACATTAGTTGTATTTCCTTTAACTGGTGGATATAGAGTTGCTGCAGTGGAGACGCTGCATGCGCACAGCTGATCGACAGCTGGGACACAATCCACCAAATACGAAAACATAATTCAGATCCAGTCGCCATGACTCCACTCCGGAGGGATTCCCCGATCATTTCTTACAGTCTCTCAACAAGGGGGTGTCTCCTGTCTCCGGTACAAACACAAACCTTTTTCGGACCACTTATTTATTTATTTTGGTGACGATCCGACCTCCATGCTGCTACTCTGGTTCAAACTGCATCCACCAAACAATATGATTTATCTCAACCTCCCCAAAATAACCAAAATCTGACACGGTGTGAGATGTCTTTTTTAGCTGTTCTGTCGTCATTTCCTGCGATCTTCTTCATAAAGTCAGTCAAAATGAATGAATGAATGAATGGGCGTTTCTTTGACTATTTATAGGCAAATATGGGCGTTACGTGAAGCCCGCAAAAGCTGCACCGCATTTCGAGTCGATTGTGATTTATAAAGGGAAACCGGCGTAGGAAGTGCTGTACGCACTTTCCTCGCCGGTACGCAATGTTTGGTGAATCGGAAAATGTCGGAACATTTCTGTACCTATTTTTTGGATTGCTACTACGTAAGCAACCTTCCCACGTGAATCCTACGCACGGCGTTATAAATGAGGCCCCTGATGTTATTTCCTAATCCTGTCTGTACTGTGTTGTCACAACCCATACGAGTAAGAGTATTAGAGTACAATTTAGGAAGGCAGTCTTTCCATCCATGTCTTATTAAATGGCTCGGTGCTGTGCTCTGATATCTCATTTGGCATTCCCTCTGTCTGTGCACAGCCCTCGTTATCGTATTCCTATGGAGGGCACTGGCATTTGACATACACACACCAAAGACTCTAGCAGCATTGCAGATCAACTGCCTCTCACAGAATGACTCCTCCCTGTCTCGTTGTGTCTCTTCCTCTCATCCTGTCGCAGGTGATGCACCTTTGGGATTACTGACTGTCACATGCTTAAGAATTAATTGTGTCTGTGGTGATAGGAGTGTGTATCTGTGCGTGGCATTGGAGATGACAGTGAAGGCAAAAGGAGAGCATTTTGACACTTTAGTTTTTCTTTCATTTGTTTGAAACCCTTTCAATGACGGTTCTCAACAACATAAGCAGGTCATTGTCTCTGAAAGCATAGTGATGTTTGCAGAAGTTACAGCTTCTGCTCACCAGAAGATACTATTGGGTGCCGTGCAATTGCAACTGGGATATACTTATTTCTCTCTTAATAAGGACCTCTTTAATGTTTTCTGAAGAGCTCTTCTATCAGTTTTGGTGAAATATGTGTCCATTTAAATTCAGTGATAAGAACACATTGACAGTGAAAGTTTACAGAAAGGTAGAACATTTTGTTATGTTTTTATTAGTATTTACGCTAGCCCAATATGACTAAAAGCATGTTTGCTTCATAGAGCTTTACAATCTGTACAATTAACAAAACAATCTTTACATAAGTGCTCAGTTTGGATAAGAAATAACTTTAAAGTAATCCTTCAGCAGGAAAAAAGGTAAACCCTGGAACACCGGAGTCGGGAGGGAGGAATCCCAAACACACGGATTAGACAGCGTGAAAAATCCGTCAGGTGTAAAGACCAAATATAATGTGTGATGCACTGACTACCCTTTTCTGGGGCTTTAAACAGCATTTTAAATAAAAAAAATGTGGTCTCAATTTGCTCCGCTGTGATGGAGATAGATGAGTCGTCATATACTTAGTTTTGTTTGCAGTTATTTAAAGTTAGACTTTCAGCAACGTATGTTAATTCTAACCCATACAACTCGGCACCCCAGGAAGAGCAAGTCACATTTCTATCTTTGTTTAGTTATTGCTTACACCTGAATACATCTTATTTTGAAAGATCAGTGCTGATATTCAATCTACAGTACGTCTTTGATCCCCTTAGCCCACTCTTATTTTAGCCTCCTTCCTCCAAACAGTTGACCAGTTTTTCAAGGCAAGTTTATTTACATAGTATATAAAGTGCATTAAAAGTGTGTGTATGTGTGAGAATGGTTAGAGTTATTGCATTATGTGTGGTGGTTGAGCAGCCTGACGGCCCAGGGGTAGAAACTGTTTTTGAGTCTGTTTGTCCGTGACTTGAAGCTCCTGTATCTCCTCCCAGAAGGCGGAGAGAGAACAGTCTGTGACCTGGGTGAGAGCTGTCCTTTATAATTTTGTTAGCTCTGCTGAGGCAGCGGGAGGTGGAGATGTGTTCCAGAGAGCGCACACAAGGCAATTCAAAGTGCTTTACAAAAATGAAAGACATTAGGAGCATTAAGAAACATATTATAAAATGGCATTTAAAATCACTCATTTAAAAACAAAGATAATAAAACATGAATAACAAAGGTACATGAATACAAGTTACAGTGCAGTGTTACTGATCATATTCTTTCTTTCTATAGGAAAATATAGGCCTCTCATTGTTAATTGTTATTTCGATCAGCTAAATCAAAACTGCTGAGTCACTGTTGTTTTAAATCAGTTGGCAATATACAATTTAAAAATGGCATATTTATTATTGTGGAGGGGGGGGGGGGACATACTCAAAAGGGTGTTGTTGTAATATTCCTGCATAAACCATCAAATTAAAATCACTTATATAAAGCCCCTTCATTTATTTTCCTTTGGTTGCACGAGTGCTCTAAATAAACCTAAGCAGGGACTGAATTAGTGAATCAACAGTATTAGCTATTGAGGTGTTATTTATAGCCTGTAGCCTGTGTTGGGATGAGGCCAGATGGACACCCGTGATCCTATTATCTCTGTTAGCTCTCACTGTGTCTGCATTCCCACAGCTGACAGTACACATGGACAGGGTTGGTTCTTCTGTTCATTTTCTCTTGGCAGACCCCTGAGTTCTCTGACTATTCTTTCATGGAGCAGGACTGACCACGTTCATGGTATGTGTCTCCAAAGATGGATTTTGTTGATCTTTAGTGTTGTGGTTGAATCTTGCATCTGTGTTGTGTTATCATTTTAGTGTAATGTGCCTCTCAGAGAAAGTCATGCATATATTGGTATTCATGACACCTCCTAAATCTTTTTAAAGTTGTATATACAAACAGGTAACATGAAAAAGAGTAATCTTTTCTGGAACATGAAGTGTGGTAGAACAGAGGAGAACAAATGCATTATGAAAACTATAGAAATCAGCCAATAATGACACACATCTTTAGATCATAGACAGAAGGGTGTGATGAGTGCTGATCAGTGGCTGGCTGTTGATCTCACTGGATGACTCGTGCAGATCCTTCTTGTTAGGACACGGTGCCGGGTGGTCGATAGAACATGGCTAAACTACTTTCTTAATACACCAACTTTTATACTAGAAATGTATGCAACGGTGCGGAAATACAGTACGAAGCCTTTGGTTGTTGTCACATTGATCGTGAAAGTTAATATCAACAGACATATATTTGCTAAAAATCTTTCAAGGCAATAGTTAAGCAATGTTTACATGCCGTCTTACCCTGTGGTGTAGTGGGTATTTTTTGACTGGGTGGACGGGGCGGGGGGAGACACTATGGACGCGCTCGTGAACTGTCAACGGGGGGGGGTACCTCTGTGTCGCCTGTCAGCTCAACATGATGCCGTTTAAACAATATCATAATAAAGGGCGGTGCCGGCCGTCAGCGAACCGATCCGGCCTTCCTGCGCGTCTGTCACTCAAATGCGGGACATAGTCTCAATTTGTGGGACGCGGGACAATTAATAAAAATGCTGTGTGCAGTCCCGCACAAAGTGGCACACCTGGTCACCCTACACACACACACGCTTCAAATCAAGTTGCATAAATGCTTGAGCTATGTTTTTATTATAATTACTGTGAAATCTGCCTATTATGTTTTCGTCATTATTAAAGCAAATACACACTTGCAACTGATAACACTGGCAATGATTTTATATTTATTAGACTGTTAAAAAAAAAAAATCATGCTTCAAATAAGTGGGGGTACGGCGTACCCCCGCGTCCAACGCCC